GCAATAGCGATGGCCTCCAACCTACTATACAGCGATGACCTCCAACGTAAGAGCGATGGCCTCCAGCCTACTTGCGGTGGCCTCCAACCTAATAGCGATGGCCTCCGGCCTAACAGCAATGGCTTCCAACCTAAGAGTGATGGCCTCCAATCTAAGAGCGATGGCCTCCAACCTAGGCGCGACGGCCTCCAGCCTGAGAGCGACGACCTCCAACCTAATAGCGATGGCCTCCAACCTAAGAGGGATTGCCTCCAACCTAACAGCAATTGCCTCCAACCTAGGCGCGATGACCTCTAATCTAAGAGCGATGGCCTCCAACCTACTCGTAACAGTGATGTCCTCCAACCTACTATATAGCAATGGCCTCCAGCCTACTTGCGATGGCCTCCAACCTAATAGCGATGGCCTCCAGCCTACCTGCGATGGCCTCCAACCTAATAGCGATGGCCTCCAATCTAATAGCAATGGCCTCCAACCTAAGAGTGATCAGTGATCACCTCTAACCTAAGAGCGATGGCCTCCAACCTAACAGCGATGGCATCCAACTTAAGAGCGATGGCCTCCAACCTACTCGTAACAGCGATGGCCGCCAACCTACTATATAGCGATGGCCTCCAGCCTACCTGCGATGGTCTCCAAACTAAGAGCGATGGCCTGCAGCCTAACAGCAATGGCCTCCAACGTAAGAGCGATGGCCTCCAATCTAAGAGCGACAGCCTCCAACCTAGGAGCGACGGCCTCCAACCTAAGAGCGATGACCTCCAACCTAATAGCGATGGCCTCCAGTCTAATAGCAATGGCCTCCAACCTAATAGCGATGGCCTCCAACCCAATAGCGATGGCCTCCAGCCTACTTGCGATGGCCTCCAACCTAATAGCGATGGCCTGCAACCTAAGAGTGATTACCTCTAACCTAAGAGCGATGGCCTCCAACCTAACAGCGATGGCATCCTACTTCAGAGCGATGGCCTCCAACCTAAGAGGGATGGCTTCCAACCTAATTTCGATGGCCTCCAACCTAAGAGCGATGGCCTCAGAGCGATGGCCTCCATCCTAATTGCCTCCAACCAGCGATGGCCTCCAATGTACTAGAGATGGCCTTCAACCTAAGAGCGATGGCCTCCAACCTAAGAGCGATGGCCTCCAACGTACTAGAGATGGCCTCCAACCTGTACTAGAGATGGCCTTCAACCTAAGAGCGATGGCCTCCAACCTAAGAGCGATGGCCTCCAAGGTACTAGAGATGGCCTCCAACCTAAGACCGATGGCCTCCAACCTAACAGCGATGGCCTCCAACCTAAGAGCGATTGCCTCCAGCGTGCTAGACATGGCCTCCAACCTAAAAGCGATGGCAACAGATGGCCTCCTACCTAACAGTGATGGCCTCCAACCTAATATTGATGGTCTCCAACCTAAAAGCGATGGCCTTCAACCTAAGAGCGATGGCCTCCAACCTAATATCGATGGCCTCCAACCTAATTAATAGCAATGACCTCCAACCTAACAGCGATGGCCTCCAACCTACAAGCGATGGCCTCCAACCAAACAGCGACGGCCTCCAACCTACAAGCGATGGCCTCCAACCTAACAGCGATGGCCTCCAACCTAAGAGCGATGCCTCCAACCTTTAAGAGCGATGCCTCCAACCTACAACATGCAAGAGAATGCAGGTTCCGGGTGCTGAAGAGTTTGAAGTCCTCAAAGGCTTCACCGTGGAGCCGCAGCTCGTTTGGGCAAATCAGACTACCCTGCAGTGCTATGAGAATGTTAAGCTGCATCTGGGCGGCTTAGCTATTGCCAAAGAGTCGTGGAAGAATGCCTTCATCTCTGCAATCCATTTAATTACTGACGTCATTTCAACTTTTTGGATGCATCGCCCGTGCTTTTTGATATCGATTAATAATACAGTCGAATAGTTATGTTGCTTAAAGTGTTGTTTCTTTTTGGTGTGTGTGTGTGTGTTTGTGTTTGTGTTGTATTCCTTTCGTTTCAAGAACGAATCTAGCCCGCCCTCCAGGCACGTCCCAGGTGGCCCGGAGAACCTCCGCCGGGCCTGGTTCGGAGTGCCGTCCGGTGCCTGGCGCGACGCGGAGCACGTCGGCGCCGAGTGCAGCGAGGCGGTGCGACGGCTGATGGAGACCAAGCGACCCATCATCACCTCACCCGGCACGCTGGGCTGTGATCCGGTGCCCGGTGTGTGGATCATAGCTTAAAGACTAACACCTATACTTACTTTTGTTGTTGTTGTGTATTTTTTGGGGAGGGTTGTACTCGTATTTGCTTGATAAAGGAGAGAAATCTTGGGAGAGATAAACTTTTGCCGCCATCATCCCTTAAAAAAAAGACAATCATTATCATGTTCTCATGGCTTTGAGGAAACAATTTCGACTGGAATTGGTGGACAACACTGGGTTCAGCGCTGAAGAGCCAGTGACACTGCGCTACTTCAAGACCTTGGAGGAAGTTCCATCAGCTCGAGAAAGTCGTTGGGTGGCATTCATCCGCCATGCGCAAGCGGGTCACAATGTGGAAAAGGCATTGATCATGAACCCGGACAACGCGCTCACCGATGAAGGCAGAGAGGATATAGATGATCGAGATGGTGAGACGATGCGGATATATGCGGATATTAGTATATTATATATGTATATTAATATTAGTATTAATAGTAATATTAATATGGATTAATATGATCATGATTCATTTCAATCTTCAGGTATCGGGAGTTGTCCAGATCGTTGCAGGAGCACGGTCAATTTCAATTCAATGTGATTTGTGAAGGCTCGTACTTCGACTTGGCTGAGTTACTATTAGGTTGGAGGCCATCGCTTGTGGGTTGGAGGCCATCGATATTAATATTGCTTGTAGGCCATCGCTTGTAGGTTGGAGGCCATTGCTATTAGGTTGGAGTCTGTGGCTTGTAGGTTGGAGGCCATCGATGGTGCCATCGATATTAGGTTGGAGGCGATTGATATTTACTCCTGCGGATTGTTCCGCCAACCCGGGGGGGGGGGGGGGGGGCAGGTTAGACCGTTCAAAAATCCGCCCGGGGGAGCACTAAAACAGACAAGACATAGCTTAACAAAGAACTAACAAAAAACCAACTACCCAAAACAGGCCGTGCCCCAGGGCCGGCGGATTACCATTGCTTGTAGGCCATCGCTTGTAGGTTGGAGGCCATCGATATTAGGTTGGAGGCCAACGCTTGTAGGTTGGAAGCCATCGAT